TTATATATTTGTATTCATTCGTAACAAATATGCTTTTAGAACCCAGTGGAGGATCTAATAATATATCTGCCCCAAGACCCATTTTACTCTGACTTGACCTTTCGAGTCATCCTCTTGAACCAAGGCTCATTAATATAACCCTTTTCAATATTACCAAAGGTAAGACAAAAGGCCAAACCCGCATGTATTTTGAATCATCATATTTTATGCATCATGCTTAACATTTCATATTTTTTATTCAAATAAATAATAATCAATCACAATAGAGATTCATGTATCAAAATCATTCAACATTTCAATTTATCCTTTTAGAAAATATCACTTAAAAATGTAAGAAAAAATACTAAAGAATCTTTTACTGTAACCATAGTTTGATTGTCTTTTAGAAGGAAAAGAAAAAACTTTTAGTGGTCTTTAAGAACTCCTACTTCTTTCTCTTATTTCTTGTTTTCCTTCTCTCTCGCTAGACTTCATTTTCTCCCTCTAAATTTTCTTAGAAAAGTGGACGATGGAAGAAGGAAAAAAAAAAAGAAAAAAGAAGAGAAAACCCTCTTTAAATAACCATGGAAGAGGCATTGGATGCTCACCACATGGCGTCCATCTGTGAAGACACGTGGTGGAAGTTGGGGGGGGGGGGGTGCAAGATGGCTAACGAACAAGTTAGCATGGTGGCTGAGGCGAAGGGACTACATAGCAAAGGGCTGCTCGCGTAGTATGGCAAGCCTATGCACACAGAGCGCGACCAGGCATTGGCTTGCATGCTAGTGTGCACAATGCGCACATAGTGCATACAGTGTCGCTAACACATGTAACCTGCGCAATGTGGTCGTGCGTAGGCTGCGTGCACAGGCACATGCATGTAGGCACACGCACAGTGCCTCATGTAGGCGCGCGCACAAAGACATGTGTGTAGGCTCGTGGGCATACGGGCGTGCGGACCATGGGCTCGCGAGTGGCTTTCCCGCGGGCCTAGGGGGTTTTTCCTCTGTTTTTCGTTTTTTGATTTTTCTTATTCTTTTTTTTTCCTGAAAATACTTTAAACAAAAATAAATTTAAAAATAAAGAAATTAAGGATAAAAATAAAATAATAAAATTAGTTTAAAACAAAATACTGATAAATCTAAATACCAATAAAAATTAAATGGTCAAGAGACCCAAAATAATAGAGTTTTAACATCATGTTTAAGAGCAAAAATTTTAAGGTATTACAAGTCCAAACAACCTAAAATATATTGTTCTAAAAACTCACAATTTAAAACAATATCTAATATAATAATATTAAACTCAAAATTTCTATTGTATTTTTTACAATCAAATTTTACTAATAATCTCTTTAATACATATGATAATAATAATTTGAGCACAAAATTACAAATATGATGTATAAATAATTAATTTAACTTTATTAAAATATAAAATTGAAAAAAATAAACTAATGAATTTTGTTTAATTAAACTCTAATAGTTTTCATTCTAAATTGAATTTCTTTTAAACCAAATTTATCAATTTAATTTAATTTTTCGATTTACACTAAATAACAAACATAACCAAAATTCTAAGAGAAATTAGACAAAGATGAACGTTGACTAATTACCAAAACCAGCAAGCTTACAAAAGGAAGCGGCCGCCATCTAATATAAATCTACTTCTTTAGATATTTCCCTAATTTCATATCATTAATTAATTTCGTTTTAATATAATTATAATTTAATAAAATTTCCCTTTTTAAAAGTGTTAATTATTTAATTATCTACCGCCTTTCTTACATAAAATTATTTTTTATAAAAAAAATTAAAATTAAAATCATTATAGTTGTGCGACAAATTGTCAACGCTTGTAGAAAAAACAACGGTTCAAGCCACCAACACAAACTCATATATAATCAAGCCATAGACGCCTCTTCTCCACCATCACCATTTCTCTCTCCCGGGAACAAACTCGCTAAAACGACACGCACGCATAGAGTAAAACGACACAGAAAAATGAAGCTTGTTTGGACGCCGGAAACCGCCTCAGAAGCTTACATAGATACAGTTCAATCAGTACGTATTCTTCTGAATTTCTTCTTCTCTGCGCTTTAATTAATTAATAATATACATATATATATGTATGTATACTCATTTATGATATGGTTCTGCAGTGTGGGAATTTCGCGGACTCAGGAGTGGCCGAGCTTCTTTCCGCCATGGCCGCCGGGTGGAACGCCAAGCTAATCGTTGAAACTTGGTCACAGGGAAACCCGATCGCCACCAGTATCGGACTGGCGGTAGCCGCCCGACACACGTGCGGAAGCCACGTGTGTATTGTACCGGATGAACGGTCGAGATTGGAGTACGAAAGTGGCATGCGTAAAGCCGGAATAGAGGAAATCGACGCGCGGGCTGGGGAGCCGGAGGAGTTGATGCCGCGGCTCGCCGGTGTGGATTTCCTGGTGGTGGATTCGAATAGGAGGGAATTCACTAGCGTTTTGCGACACGCTAGCCTGAGCGGCAAGGGAGCAGTTGTTGCATGCAAAAACGCGACCCAACGTGTCGTTTCGGGGTTCGGGTGGCAAGCGGCGCTTGGGAAAGAGAGACGTGTAGTTAGGTCTGTGTTGCTGCCAGTTGGGAAAGGATTGGATATAGCGCATGTAGGGAGTAGTGGTGCGCGTGGTGGTTCGAGCAAGAGTCCGAACCGTTGGATTAAGCACGTGGATCAACGGTCGGGAGAGGAGCATGTATTTAGAGGGCAATAAATCATTGATCCACAAAATATTGTACTAAAGAAACTAGTAAATAAACAATTTTGCAACTCTACCTTAAAATCACTAGAACCCATTATTAATAGACTTGTTTAATTTCTTGAATTTTTGTGAGTGAAAATATGTAAATTTCATTAGCAAGATAAACACATATATACCAATTATAAAATAATAAATATACATATAAATATATAATTCGATTAACTCACTATTTTTTTTTTTAACTAATCATAATATGATGAGCATGTAAAAATCCATGTCTAACCTCCGGATCTCTTGGGAAGAGAAAGAGAAAAAGCCGATAGAAATTGATTTTAACCCTTTTTTTTTTTAACTACTAATAATAATATAACGAGAACCCAGAATATACAATTTGTGTCTAAATCTGGATCTCTTATGAAGGGATGCATCTTCAAGAGGGAGGAGGCCCCTTTGGATTTTAGAGTAATTTGGATTAGGTCCATGAAGAGTACTTTGTTGGAATATGCCTGAACTGTTGCTGCTAATAAGTCAACAGTTTTATACCAACTCAATCTCTTTGGAAAATTTCAGGTTGAAGATGATGAAAATGATTTAGTCTTCAGGGTGCTCTTATACATCATATTTACATAGACACAAACAAAACATCTAACTTGTTTGGAGGAATAAAAAACCCACAAAGCTAGATGGGTTTTAAACTTTCATATGCTCAGTTTGGGTTAATTGTATTAAGCTCCAATCTGCAAAAATGGCGAAGTGATCCTAAAGACATGTTCTTCACCCGTCCATTTATCCACCTTAACAACCCATCTGCTCTTTCTTCTCCCACCTCTGCTTCCCACAGTAACGATTACCAGTCCATCTCCAATGGGTAAAAACTCAGTCTTGTTTTCACTCAACCATGAGCCCTTACGAAGAGCATTGTATCCCACCACGAGCCCTCTTCCCCCCCTCGCTGCAGCCTCATCTTCAGCGGCTTTGAACACCCTTTTATGGTCCTTGATTCGAAAATCAATGAGAACGAAATCTGCACCTCTGCACCGGTCATCATTTCGTAATGAAGTCTCTGCATCTCCTACCAGAAAATCTACGGAGTCTGCATACCGCCCTAAGGCTTTTCTTGACTCAGCGACGCTTTCAGCTGCGCCTAGAATGCAGACCACTCGGCCGCCCGTTTGGCTTGCTGCTGCGACTAGTGACAGGGCGGTGGATCCGGCCGTGTCCGCACATGCCACCACCATTAGCTGCGCGTTGTTGCCAGCGGCCAGAGCTGATATGAACTCTGCTACATCAGGCTCCTTCCCTGTTTTTCCCTGCATCACGATTCATGTTTCAGAAATATTAGCGGCTGCTTATCTGATTAAACCACATATATATAGCAGTACATACACATTTGATGTATATTTTATACGAGTAATTGAGAAAAGATCGTGGGTTTACCATTTTCAGTGCTCGAAGATAAGCTCTAGTGGCATTTTCAGCAGACCAGTTAGCCATATTTCTTTCCTTGGCGCTTCTTGATTTGGATAAGCTGGTTAATTTGGAGGTGAAGCTCAGTCTAATGGCGTTCTATACATATATATATGTATATGACAGAGAAGGAATTCCATGACAATATAAATTTAATAATGGCGTGCATGCGAGAACCCGAGGAAGGTTCCTACTGAGGAATCCTGCAGCACCGACAGACTTGTGGTGTTGGAAAGTTAATATAAAAGCAAAGATTGACAAGTGCTTGGAAGCTAACTCTTTTTTTTTTTTTTTTGTCATATTCAATAAGTTTTTAGTGTTCTAGTTTTGTGATTTTTTAGCTTTTTTTTTTTAAAAAAAAAGCAATTTTAAGAAAATGGTCGTATTTAAAATTATATTAATTATAATATAATAAAAAATAATTTTTAAATAAAAATATATAGAAACACAATACAACTGAAATTCACAACTTTTACGTTTTACCGTTCAACTTATTAATGCAATTTAAATATTTATATCATTTAGTGAATTTTTTTTTAAATTTTTTTTCCGTTTAAAATAGAATTTAATATTACACACATTTAGGTACGTGCAAACTTTGTATTATTACAAATGAAAAATAAAAAAATTCCATATTTATCAAATTTAATAGCTCTAAATTTGCAACGAAACCCACGGATATACATATATATATATATAGTGTGTGTGTGCATATAGATATAAACCCTTAAAGCAGAGATTGAACATGTCTCCAGCTCGTCCCACATGTTGTTGCCTCACAAATTGGGAGAGAGTAGATTTTTATATATAATTAAAATTTATATATCTAACATATATATGATTCCATGATCACCTCCTACAGCTACATGTAACTTTGTTAATTTCTAGTGGACGTTCAAGCTAGATTTGAATCTTTTGTCAGTCTTAGCTATTTATACATAAATATGTCATATACGAATATATGTATATATATGTGTACTTCCTAGAATCTATGGCACTCCAAAAATAAATATTCAGAAATTAGCTGTGATGTTAAAAAGTAGAAGATATATATATGTGTGTGTGTGTATATATATAGGCGCAGATTCAGAGACCTCTGCATTGTTTCTTTCAGATAAGTCAAGCGATACCGATATTGGTCTCTGCCCACCACAATCAATGCTTACCCAGCCGACCACAAACTCTCTCTCTCTCTCTAGCCCTCCTCCCCAAAAAAATAATAATAATTATGAATATGTACATGTGTATACTACTGATATAATATGTATATACGTTTATCAACAACAAGACAAATTGTGCTATGGTGGGTAGAGTGTTGTATTGTATTTTGAAACGATTTTATTAGGAATACAACTCAGTTAATTAGTGTGTGTAATATAAGTTTGTGATAATTAATTTATAATATTTAATTTAATTGGTGTGTGTGGCGGTAAGAAAAATATTAATTAAAAATTTATATTTATAATTCATAATGTTTAAAATTAATTTTATTTAAAAATTTATAGAAACCATCTCAAAACACACTCATAATACAAAATAAGATTTGTCAAGATAAAACGAGAGACATTCTTGGTATTTGTAAGATGAGAAATCAAAATGATGTATTTCTTATGAAGCTTGGATGGAGACCTAGAAATGAATAATATGGTCTCTAGGCCAAAGTTCTTGAATCAAAATATTTTCCGGACAATAATACTTTAGAGGTCAATAAGTTCCAAGAGTATAACTCTCTTACTTGGGATGAATTTAGTTAAGTACTTTAATATCTTTAGATTTGGGTTTAGATAGGAGCTTGACAATGAGAGATTAATAAATTTTTGACAAGATAACTAGGTGGGTAATCAACTCTTAAAGTTTATGCGTACAAACTCTATTCTTTTGTTGTATATCAACCGAAGTAGAATATTATGTTAACCTGAATAGTACGTAGAACTAAAATAAATTTACTGAGTTTTTTCTTGTTGGGTGTGTATTCAAATTTCTCTTTAACATCAAAATTGAGAAAATTAACTAAAATAATCGATTTAACAATTTACTAGTAATGGGATAACTAATATTAAATCAACATATTTCTTTATTAATAAAGCTCATGAACCCACTTTTGTTAAGAAATAGAAAGAAATATGAAAACTTACCATACTAAATAAGAGTCAGGTACTTGATGTGACTCACTTCCGACAGCCTTTTTACTAATACGAAGAAAGCATCACCACTGACTACTGATGATTAATGTGTCAGATGTCAACTTAGTAAATTTGGAATGATTCTAAGAATGTTGCATGTAGAGGTTAATTAAAAATAGTGATAAAAAATAAACGAACTGTTTGATGTACATATGAGACTCAAAGAATACAGTATTTACATTCAGAGTTTCAAGCTGACACATAATATTGATATTAAAAATCTTATAATTGAGGTTAATTTTTTTTTATCTCAACTAACTGCTATATAGAGGATCCACTCACAATAACCATTACTCAAGCTCTATCAATTAGATCTAATACTCTTCTTAATAACAAATGAGATATCTGTAGTACCCATATTTCGTGAAGACAACACTTATATGAATCAATTGATCAAGTATTCCTTTTAGGATCTCCAAGCTCTCCCATGCCCC